TGTCCCCGTGTCCCTCAGGGATTTGGGAATGTCCCTGTGTCCCTCAATGATTTGGGAATGTCCCCGTGTCCCTCAGGGATTTGGGAATGTCCCTGTGTCCCTCTGGGATTTGGGAATGTCCCCGTGTCCCTCAGGGATTTGGGAATGTCCCCGTGTCCCTCAGGGATTTGGGAATGTCCCTGTGTCCCTCAGGGATTTGGGAGTGTCCCTGTGTCCCTCAATGATTTGGGAATGTCCCCGTGTCCCTCACAGATTTGGGAATGTCCCCGTGTCCCTCAGGGATTTGGGAATGTCCCCGTGTCCCTCAGGGATTTGGGAGTGTCCCCATGTCCCTCTGGGATTTGGGAATGTCCCCGTGTCCCTCAAGGATTTGGGAATGCCCCCATGTCCCTCACGGATTTGGGAATGTCCCCATGTCCCTCAGGGCCTCGGGAATGTCCCTGTGTCCCTCAATGATTTGGGAATGTCCCTGTGTCCCTCAAGGATTTGGGAATGTCCCCGTGTCCCTCAGGGATTTGGGAATGTCCCTGTGTCCCTCTGGGATTTGGGAATGTCCCTGTGTCCCTCAAGGATTTGGGAATGTCCCCATGTCCTCAAAGCCTTGGGAATGTCCCCGTGTCCCTCTGTGCCTCGGGACTGTCCCCATGTCCCCGTCTGGAGCTGGGGGTGGCCCCACAGAGCCCCCCAGGCGTGGCCAGGACTGACCCCTGTCTCCGCAGCGTCCGAGCCCAACCTGAAGGTTCGGTGCAAGCCCAGGAAGTGCCTGGACCGGCGCAAGAACCCCCTGACCCGCAAGGAGAGCGCTCCCCCCTCGCTGAAGAGGCGCCCGCCCGACGCCATCGGTGAGGGGGGACAGCAGGAGGGGACAAGAAAGAGGGGACAGCAGGAGGGGACAGCAGGAGGGGACAGGCAGGACAGGAGAACAAGGAAGGTCCTGTGTCACCTCAGCTTGGGGACAATGACACCGGGGTTTGGTGTGTCCTCCCCAGGGGCTAGGCTGGGGTGGTGTGGGATGGGGAGACTGGGAGCTGCTGGTTTGGGATGGGGGTGCTGGTTTGGGATGGGGGTGCTGGTGTGGGACCGGGGTGCTGGTTTGGGATGGGGGTGCTGGTGTGGGACTGGGGAGCCTGGAGGTGCTGGTGCAGCTGCTCCTGCTGCTTCTGGGGCCCAGGATGGACCTGCAGGGCTGGAAATGCCCCGGGTCCAGCGTGGAGGATCCCACCATCGAGCGGTGCCTTCCGAGGGGGATTCAGCCCCAGAAGGGTGGGGGGCAGTGGTTGGAGGGGCTGGGGGGTGGCTCTGCCCTCACCCCCATCCATGCCCCCCCAGACTCGTCCCCCAGCAGCAGCAGCACCCCGGTGTCGGGCTGCAGCTCTCCCAACGACAGCCTGCCCGCCGAGCACGCGGCGCTGCCCGCCGCCCCGGGCGTGGCCCACGAGGTGAGCCCTGCTGCTTTTGGGGACCCCCTGCCTGGAGCTGCCCCTCCCTGCGTGCTGGGGTGCCCTGGAGTGCCCTGAGATGTTCTGGGATGCTCTGGAATTCCCCGCTCTGGGATGCTCTGGGATGCCCTGGGATGCTCTGGGATGCCCTGAGGATTCCCTGGAATGCCCTGGGATGCTCTGGGATACCCTGGGATACTCTGAGATGCCCTGAGGATTCCCTGGAATGCCCTGGAATTCCTGCTCTGGGATGCTCCTCCCAGCCCAGCACTTCTCCCAGCCCCACCTCTCCTCCCGGGTGCATTTCCCCTCTCCCAGCGCTGTCCTGTGCCGTGGGGGTGTCCCCAGGGCTGTCCCCATGTCCCTGGTGCGGGTCCCTGGCTGGGCAGGGCTCTGATGGCTCCGTGTGCTGCAGACGCCCCTGGCCCAGCGGCTGATGATGCAGGAGAGCTCCCTGGCCCAGTTTGCCCTGCAGAGCGCGGCCTCGCTGCCGGCCATCACCCTGGGCCTGCCGGCCACCACCGGTGCCAGGGTAGGTGGCCACGTTGTACCCCCAGCGCCGGGTCCCTGTGGGGCTTCCCCTGGGGTTTGGGGTTCCTGGTGCTGCCCATGGGCACGGTGGGGACAATCCTGTGTCCTCCTGGTGCTGCTCCCTGTGATTGAGCCTGTCCCTGTCCCATCCCTGTCCCTGACCGTGTTCCTGTCCTTGTCCCCATCCCTGTCCCCATCCCCATCCCTGTCCCCATCCCCATCCCTGTCCCCATCCCCATCCCTGACCCTGTCCCTGTCCCTGTCCCCATCCTTATTCTATCCCTGTCCTTTCCCTGTCCCTGTCCCTTTCCCTGTCCCATCCCTGTCCCATCCCCATCCCTGTCCCATCCCTGTCCCATCCCTGTCCCTGTCCCACTTCTGTCCCATCCCTGTCCCTGTCCCATCCCTGTCCCATCCCTGTTCCCATCCCTGTCCCTGTCCCACGTCTGTCCCATCCCTGTCCCTGTCCCATCCCCATCCCTGTCTCCATCCCTGTCCCATCCCTGTTCCATCCCTGTCCCGTCCCTGTCCCATCCCTGTCCCTGTCCCCATCCCTGTCCCATCCCTGTCCCTGTCCCCATCCCTGTCCCATCCCTGTCCCTGTCCCCATCCTTGTCCCTGTCCCATCCCTGTCCCGTCCCCCCAGGGCGATGCGGAGCGCCGGGCGCTGCCCGGCCTGGCTCACCGGGTGCCGGTGCTGAACGGGCCGGTGCTCCCGGGCACGCACTCGCCCGTCTTCATCCCGGCCGGCCTGGAGCAGCACGAGGCGGGCAGTGCCCTGTCCCCTCGGCTGCAGCCCGTCATCATCCTCGAGCCCTCGGTCACCCACGCTCCGCTGGTGGCGGGTGAGTGTCCCCAGGGGACAGTGGCGGTGACAGCCAGGAGTGGGGACAGCGACAGTGACTGTGACAATGACAGCCAGGTGTGCGGACAGTGACAGTGCCACTGACTGTGAGTGACAGTGACAGCCAGGTGTGGGGACAGCGACAGTGACTGTGACAATGACAGCCAGGTGTGGGGACAGTGACAACAAGGTGTGGGTACAGTGAAGTGACACTGACTGTAACAGTGACAGCCAGGTGTGGGTACAGTGACTGTGACAATGACAGCCAGGTGTGCGGACAGTGACAGTGACAGTGACAGTGACAGTGACAGTGACAGCCAGGAGTGGGGACAGTGACAGTGACAGTGACAGCCAGGTGTGGGGACAGTGACAGTGACAGCCAGGAGTGGGGACAGCGACAGTGACTGTGACAATGACAGCCAGGTGTGGGTACAGTGACTGTGACAGTGACAGCCAGGTGTGGGGACAGTGACCATGACAGTGACTGTGACAGTGACAACCAGGCTGGCAGACAGACATATTTATATTCTTAATATAATTCAATATATTATTATTAATAGTTATATTAATATTTATATTATGAATACAATCAAATATATTATTATTAACATGTATATTATTTATGCTATTTTTATTTTTTATTTTTAAAACCCATTATTTTAATTTTTTTTTTTTTTTTTCTGTTTCCCGACCTTCCTGCGCCACATCCCCTCTGCACCGTGCAGTGCCGGGCCTGGGCACCGTGCCCTTGTCGCTGGCGCCGTCGCTGGTGCCCGCGGAGCGCCTGGCGCTGCCGGGCCAGCACAAGCCGCTGGGCAGGACCCGCTCGGAGCCGCTGCCGCCCAGCCCGCGGGCCGTGCAGCAGCACCTGCTCTTCCAGCAGCACCACGCGCATTTCCTGCGCCAGCAGCCGCACCTGGGCAAGGTGAGAGCCCGGCGGGAAGGAGGGCAGGGAGAGGGGGACGTCGCCGGGCTGGGTTTGTGTCCAGCTCCAAAATGAGAGGGGAAACATCACTGGGCTGGGTTTGTGTCCAGCTGCAAAGTCAGGGGGAAACGTCTCCGGGCTGGGTTTGTGTCCAGCTGCAAAATGAGAGGGGAACATCGCCGGGCTGGGTTTGTGTCCAGCTCCAAAATGAGAGGGGAACGTCGCCGGG